CAACTTTACAGCCACAACTGAGCCCAACATTTCTGTTGTTAAGTGAAGATATTTGCTCAGTCAGTTCTGCCCCATTTTACAACCTTCCTTGCCACAGTTCTGTGAATCACTGGTAAGTTAGTAACCTGGTTGTTAAGCGAAGCGGGCTTTCCCCACTGACTTTGCTTTTGTCAGGTCGCAAAAGGGGACCACGTAACCCCGGGACGTTGCAACCGTCATAAATATGAAGCATATGAATTTTGATCGTAGAACCATGGGGCTGCTGCAAGGATCGTTAAGTATGAAAAACGGTCATTAAGTCAGCCATTTATCAGTGCCCTTGTCACTTTGAACGGTCACTAAACGAACTGTTGTAAGTCGAGGACTACCAGTCAGCCAGACTAAGTGTTAAGAGAGGAGAAAGCGACCAGAAACGTTATCTATGAACGTGAAGGGGCATTTTTTATTATTATTCATAAAGCCACTGAGCAGCTATGGAGTACATTTAAATAAAGTGGGTCTCCTCAAGGGAAACACGCTAATGCGGGTGGGGTACTGGTGCCGGTCCACCTTCCTCCTCTCCGTCACCTAGAACTTAGAAACCAAATGGGTGTTTGGGCTTCAACCGTCTTTTGAATCCAGGCGCTGAAGAACTGCGTCTCTTGAAATGTTGACTGGGCTCCTCCCTCCAACCGTCCTGGGTTTCTTCGCCGAGTTGTTGTTGCTACTCTTGGGGCGCACTTGGGGCTCCCGTCGGCTTGCTCTGCTCGTCACTTTTCTTCTTGTGGCCCGAAACGATGGAGTCGATCCGCAGGAGGAGGACAGCCGTCTGGGGGAAGGAGGCGGCATATGGTTACATCAGGAAGAAGACAACAAGCGTCTTTTTAACAAGGTGCAGGGTTGAATCTGGGCAACTAAATGGAGCTGAGTGGTTTTACTGGCCTGATGCCTCTCCTGTTGCCAGTGCTGAGTTTTGTTCGGCAGATATATTCTCATTCCCAGAGACAGAGAGAAATACCAGCCTCTACCTAGGATCAAATTCACAGCCTCCTGATTGTGATGAGAGCGCTCCACCTCTAGGCCACCACTCATCAGAAAGATGACAATAATCCCCCCAAAATCCCTATCCCCACATTCAACCTGGCTAGAAGGCACTGGGGAACCCAAGAACATCAACTTAAGCAGTCTGAGGGATTTCATCAGAACAAGGCTTCTTCTGATGGCCAAGGAGGTCTGGGGCCGCCCCAGAGGAACTCCTCGGGCCACGGATGCTTCCGTCTCACCTCGACAGCCGTCTTGTAGGTCTGCAACTTGACAGAGAGGGGCTCCCAGATGCCCAAGTCCTTCATGTCGGCCAAGACTCCAGTCTCTCCATTGACACCCCAGGTCTGGCTGCCTTCTTGAGTGTGCTTGGCCTGTGAGCAAGACAGGGAGTTAAGCATCCCCAAACCAAGTAGCTCACCTCCTCCATGTTTCACCTCCGCCACCAGATGACTTCAAAGGGACCACACACCCGCCCACTTTTTCCTCATTGTCAAAAATTTTCCACAATTGTTTGGAAAAATAATGTCAAATGCCGGGGAAATCAGCAGATTCGGGCAGTTCAAATTGAGTATGAAGATTTATTGCAAGCTTAAGCACTCTACAAAAATCTGAGCTACTAATGGTGAAGGGAAATTAGAAGGACATGAATCTGACCAACTAACAGTCAAGGGAAATGAGCGGGAGATAAGAAAGGTATTCAAAGTGGGCTGGACTGAGATCTCTTATGGACAAGCAGGGACTCATGACATGTTTGACCCCTCCCTCAGCCTGGTCATCTGCTACAGATGATCTGCCTTTCCCTTCTCTTCCCCCTCCTCCATTATCCCTGCAATGGCCACACCACTCCTCTCCACCCAATGACCGCCAAGGACCTTTCCAGCAAGAAAGAGCAAAGAGAGCAAATTCGCACTGATGGTAATCAGAGGCAGTTCTCACCCGCAAGGATGTGAGGACACGGATAGTGCTAGCACCACAGTTCTGAATGAGGGTCCTGGGAATAACTTCCAGAGCTTGGGCCACGGCGCGATAGGGCCACTGTTCCACCCCGGTCATGACTTTGGACTTTTCGGTTAAGGCGTGGGCCACGGCCATCTCGGAAGCACCACCCCCTGGCACCAGCTGGGGGTCAACGAGGACATTGCGACAGACCTGCATAGCGTCCTGGAGGTTACGCTCCACTTCCTGTGGGAAGGAGAGAAACAGCCAGTGTAAATGTTGAATCCTTGAGGTCAAAGTCGTAGAGCAATGCAGTAATGCATTTTTTACTCTCTAAAGAATAATTCTTGTTCCAAGTGGGAAGCAAAAGGAGCCATTTTGAGGGGGGGCTGTCTGGAAATCACTGCCCCCCCCCCACATTTTGAATAAAAGCCCCACCCACCTCCAGTGATTCTGGGCCATCTCTGCCTCATTAGTCAACCAAGCAGTCCAATTCTTCCAGAAACAGACCCCCACTACAGGTGGTCCTTATTGACTGCTTCAATTCACCCTCTTATTTTCCAACATCCGCCTTCCCCACAGCAGCACAAATTGAGAATTTTTATTTTTTTTTTTGAGAACTGGAAGTTCAAAGATGAGAATGGAGATTTAGTTTCTGCTCTCATTTGCATCCTTTAACACTCCAAAGAAACCAGCTAAAAACATTCAGGCCCACCTTTTAAGGTAACACCACCCAACAGCTTCCTATAGTCCCGTGAGAGGCCAGGACTGCCTCCATTAGTACCTCCGACTTTGCAAGCCCTTGAAATGCTCTAAAAAACGCCACTTGAACAGTGTGTCAAGTATGAGAGACAGCTACCACTCACCTAAGCAGCGCTGACTGCAAATCAGAGCAAGAAAATCAACCCCAAATGCGCCCATTTTCCTCAGAAGGAAAATTAACAGTTACATTGCCTCTGTCTCAAAAGTTATTTTCTCCGGAGTGGGGGCGGGAGGTTGCTCACCGCTAGAATCTCTTTGCTGGCGCCCCGGAGCAAAATGGTGCAAGCCTTGGGCTCCTTGCATTCGGTGATAAAAGTAAAGTACTCGTCTCCAATTTTCTTCACTTCGAAGAGCCGAGCGCCAGTCCCCACATCCTCTTCGCGCAGCTCATCTGTGCGGCTGACGATACGAGCCCCACAAGCTCTGGCAGGAAAAGAAACAAACAGAAACCAAGATTCAACCGAATGCCGATTCAACCGAAAGCCAGCCCTCAAAAGAAAGGCTGGCTTTGGGATGTCAGTTATGCGCATATGGCCTCTGCCTTCCATCGGTAGCTGGTTCTACCCATCCTCATGTTTTCCTGCTAGTGGCAGATTCAGAGAGAAGGTTCAGTTGTGCATGGAATTAGCCACTGTGCAAAGAATGTTGGGGGATTTAATAACATTTGTAACAATTACATGTTTAAAATTTTTATATTTTTTATTTAATTACACAACACCATTTGTAACTATAA